ACCCACTTAGACAGGGAACACCCCCCTAAGATTCCAGCTGTCTAGCTTCTCAGAACCCCGAGTTATCAATTTACGCGGGAGAAATTTTGGGGGGACCGTATGCGGGTACCACGCTTACCCGGGGGCTGGATTTAAGCTCATTAGTACCTACTTAAACGGGGAACATTCCCCTAAAATTTCAGCTTTCTAGCATCTCAGAATCCTGAGTTATGAATTTACGCGGGAAAGATTTTGGGGGACCCGAACACGGGTACCACGCTTACCCGGGGGCTGGTTTTGAGCTCACTAGTACCTACTTGGACGGGAACATTCCCATAAAATTTCAGCTCTCTAGCTCTCCTGGTTCGCGAGTTAGCAGCTTACCCGTAAAAAACTTTGGCGGGGTTTTACGGGGGCACCACGCGGGAAAGACCGCCCATTTTGGGGATAGGGGCCCGTACATGCACGTAAATTAAGTCCCCAAAGTTTCAGCCCCGTAGCTTTTGCCGATCTCGAGATGAAAAATCGGTACAGAGGCCCAGTGCACACACACACACATACACACACACACACACAAACACACACACACGCACACACACACACAGACAACCTCTCGTCAATATGCGTTTTCTGCATTGCATAGCTGCAAAAAACGCGGCTGTTACACAGCACAAAACGCATAAAAATCGGTACAGACGCGCAGCGCACACACACACGCACAACACACACACAGACAACCTCTCGTCAATATGCGTTTTTCGCATTGCATTGCTGCAAAAAATGTATAAAAAAATTGCGGTAAAATCCCTTCGTAGAACATTTTTTCATTATTATAACGATGGGTCAAAAATCCAGAATCACGTATGCAAATGACAGTGGTAGATGACACTTCCGAACTCAGTATTTCCGTACAGCATGTTCCGTGATTTTTACTTTTTGTTCCACACCGTATTTAAATTTGCAGATTCCCTTTGTTGTGTACGAAACGACCTGTAACAAATATGATCGGATAAGAGCACATACAGTCTGACGACGTCTGGGAAGGAGAAGACAACGGAACAAGTACTGGGTTCTCCTTTTACGCTTAGACGGCATCAAAACTATTCTTAAAATCGCGCTAAAATTGGACCAAACAGCGCAAAATCAAGTAAGCTGGTGCAAAATTAACTGGAAGAGGAAGCTCATCCGGTAAGCGCTGTCGTTGATTTCATTTTACAAGGAAATGCGTTGAAAATTCGTTATTTTATCCGAAAATTAATAGCATTTTAGAATATTTAGCATTTAATCACTCATTTTCAGGTACTATTATAAAAAAGATAAAAAAAAAATTCATAAGAAACTCATTAACAACTCTAAAGCTCTCAAGTCTAGCCATGGTGTGTGTGTGTGTGTGTGCGTGTGTGTGTGTGTGGGTGTGTGTGCGTGTGTGTGTGTGCGCGCATGTGTACTCTAACAAACAAATGCGTCAGATGTAAGTTGTTGAGGAGTTCCAGGCTATTGAGTTGGTTATAATTTGAAAGAAAAAAAATCTCACATCATTTTGGACGGTGAAACCAAGTGCTGGATAATTGGCCAGACCTCGTATTATGTCGGAGATTTTGCCCTCTATTATCGTTACTAAACTGTTATTGTCTTTGAGGTTTGTCACTGTCACAATAATCCGACCGGAAAGACGGCTTTCGATCGAAAATCTCCTGAAATAACTTCTGGCTTATCTACAATGAATTCCGACACACTCAGAGAACTGAAACTCAACGAATTTGCTGTTTGCAAGGTGTACTTTATAGATCTCTAATAAAATGAAGTATGAACGTAGTTCGTCCGGTTATTCAAGGACAGAAATAATTCGCCTCTTTCCTTCCACTTGAAATATAAAGAAGAGGCTGTCACTTGCAGGAACCTTAGTCTCCTTCTCCTCCTCTCGAAAAAAGAGCTCTCAGCCAACGACGCCAACCAAAAAGGAGTATCAGCCGAAAAGGATATCCACAAAACCTGAATTCAGAGCGGTAAATGACTTGAGTCTCGAAAATTTATTCTGATAAAGTTCCAGAGGAACAGTGATTTGTGGGCTGAAATTTCATAATACACTGTGGGAGCGGGTAACTTCTAATCTTCTATTCTTTTTGATTCGAATGACTGAACTGATTAGTGAGCGATTTTACTAAAAACGGCAAAAATGAAGAAAATTTCAAGCTAAAAAATTCGGTGACAGATAGATAATGCAAAAGCAAACCGAATTTGATGGTCCTCGAGGATGACAAGTTCGGCAACAGTTTCACAGAGTGGTGGTACCCGTACAGTACTATCGACTCCCCAAACGAGCTCCTCCTCAACAGTATTCTCACCGATATGGATCACCGATAATTCGTTTCGGAAGCCAGCATTCGCTTCAACCACTTCGCACGGTGTCTTCAGCTTCAAAGTCATCTCGATACCTCGGCATACTCCTTTCTCTGTAAAACAATATTTTTGTGCATTTTTTGCTGCAACATTTGCGAAAACGCATTTTGGATACCCTGTCCGAGTGTGTTTGCGTGCGTGTGTGTGTTCCGAGCGCATTTTACTTTTTTTCAACCAACAAGAACCAGTGAGTTGCAAATTTCAAGTTCACTGGAAAATTAGCATGTGTTCGCCCTTCATTTTGAACCGTGCATCAAAATCATCTCTTACAGCACAGTTTGTTTCCGAGACTGCCTTCCCCTGTGTTCAGTTCTCTTTCTGAACTGCTGCTAGCTGACAAAAGAAACGCAACTAATTTCAGCTTTTTGTGATTCACGAGCCACTCCTCTCACTTTACAATCACTCGCCAGACTGTTAGTGATGATCAGATTTAGCTAAAAGAATTTTTCTTTAGACTATAGGCTGGTTTGGTTTGGTCTGTGCTAGCTCGTGCTACAGCCCAGGCCACAACGAGACGCGCCAGTTGAGAGTTCCAGAAAATTTCTATTTTTTCAAGATAACATTTAGCTTGATCATACAATTGCATTTTCTTTGCTTTACCGATTATCTTAACCATTTTCTTTGTATGCCTTTCTCTCCAATTTTTTGACTTGTGGGATGTCGATCTTTTTCAGGAAACGGCAAACCATGTCAGAGAATTTCATGGTTTTTGATTATATTCGCATTAAACATGTTCATTATCATATCTTTCTGGCCCATACATGTGTGAAACGAGCAAGTTTCATAAAATTTTTTGCTTCAACAACACATAATCAGTACAGAAAATCGCCACAAGAGGAAAAGTGAGATGCCAAAATGATAGACCACAAACCGTTCTTTTCCAGAAAGAAGCCAAAAAATTTCTGACAACTGTCTAGACAAATCACTGAACGATAAGTGTCTAATTACGCTTCCTCACCAGAAACATGATAGCTGAAAGCTCACTGTGGATTTCCAATCTCTTGTAGGCATGCTGCTGACACTTACTGCCAGAAATTCACTGCAGGTCTCAAATCCACCTGTTGTGTATCTCCAAAGTAGATTTTGGTTTGTTAGAAGCGAGTAGCGTCATGTTAAAGCCGACTCGCGAGGTATTAAAATGATGCATTTGCGAGCGCTTTTTGCCTTCTCCAAAGATCTTAGAGATTTTTTAATCACTGGGTTCACTTTGCTAATGTTAGACGCCGTTCAGTTTTTATCTCTTTCCTTCAACTACACCGTCTTGAGTCGTGAACAACACGTTGGCGAATTTAGTTTTTACCTACAAGTCATTCTATCTACATAGCGCAAAAAAAACTTTCTACTTTCACCACAACTTCATGCTGGGGATTTGGCTTTCGACAACATCTGGGTGGGAAGTTATTCATGGCTCCTCAAACTCATTTTTTATTAAGTTCCAAGCGCTATGTCAATTGGTATACTGCAAGCACGTTCGGTAAACTTTGTTACTGCCCACTTCAACTTCACTTGTTGAAACAGTGCAAAATTGCTAGTTTTATTTCTTTCTCATTACTTTTTTTTTATTTTTGCCTGAAAAAAAAACATTGTGTTTTTTTGCTAGCTGCTCAAACGTATTAGGTCTGTATACTGCTCAAGGGATAAGTAAACTGAACTGAATTTTAAAGGTTCGCGGAGGGATGAAACTGCACTGCGAATCCATGAACGGACACAGTGATTATCTACCGTTGAAATGGTCAGTGTAAATTGTTAGTAAGTGCGCCTTTGTCCACTGAAAACTGGTCGAAAACCTTACACATGGGCAGAGGAATGGACGGAACAAGAACTGTTTTTAGGTGCCTACTTCCGGGGCTGTTTTCTTTTTCTTAGCTATGTGTGTATTTTTTGGTAACATTTATTTTTGAAAGCTAGAAGATCTGTCCAGTGACCATTTGTACGGATGTACTCGGAATTCAGACTTATGATGGTTTTAAAGAGGAATGCATGTCCTGTAAAAAAGAACGTTACCAACAATCACAGTGGCTGAGCTACGAGTTGAACGCTCCGTTTTGAAGGAATATTCTTGCTCCCGTTCAGTTGTATTCGTAAACGTAGATTTGAATAAGGTCTGCTCGTCCTTGCTTTTCTGTGTATTCCTAATGTCCAAGCCACCAATTGTATAGGTTGGCTCCAACGATTCGTTAAACATGTGGGACCAGTTGATATTGTACTAGAAAATGCGTTTAGCATTTGTTTTTAGCAAGAAAAAAAAAACTTCAGATTTCAATGTGCAATATGCTGTACCACCAAAATGCAGTGACGGGCCGAACACTATCAATCAGTTGAGCTCCTGCATTATTTTATTTATTTTATGAGAATTTCATCAGCAGTGAGTAAGTAATTCTGCTGCTCGCCACTGACCTCTAGACCACTTTTCCAATCCAGTTTACAAAACGCCTTCTCAGTGCAGTTCGAGAAAAACGTGCAGTTCGTGTGGGGCCTCCTTGTCTTACATCTCGACTGGTGCATAGACTGGTGCATAGGCTGTGGTGAAAATAGCTGGTCCAGTACCTTGTTTATATTCGTTTTGTTGTCGATTTCTACATAGTTTCTAACAAACCCTTCTCATCGGGCGGGTAAGGAGGTTTTGCTGCCCTTGCCCATCTGCTTTAAAGAAAAGCCATGAAACTCCAATTACCGACTGCTCGGGTGATCTTATTATTCAAGGTTTTTTGAAATTGTGACACGTGCAAAAGGCAGTAAAAAAGAATGCCCAATTGATTTCAGATGTATCGAGACGCTGTACCGTTATTAAAGATAATTGCATAAAAATGGGTAGATTCATCATCTTCCACTTCCTCAGGCTGCTGCTGTCATCGTGAAAATTCGATTTTCTCATTCTCTTTCATTATTTTCTCGGTTCCAATCACAATTTCATTACTGACACTTC